GTTTCAAGTTACTCGGGGAACGCTTTCCAATTAAGGCGACGTAATATATGCATCGAGTTTGCGTCTTGTGGCAAAAGGCGCGGGGTAGAAGCTATAAGGACACGATGGCCGAGGGTTTGATTCGAGATGAGACGTCAAATGTTACCACTTCGAAGGGTGAGACAAAATTCTCGGTGTCAATTCTCAGGGCAATCTGCCGATGCAGATTAGCTCGACGCCGGTCTTGCTTGATCCCGTATAAGATTCGTCTCCTCCCTCGCACGTCGGGATTAATTGGGGTGAATTGTCCTGCCGCGCCCATTAATGTCACGAGTTTAATCCAGAAGTAAGAATCCCGTGACAGGCTCGCTCTCTCTCTTTCCTGCCGTCTCTCGTGGCCGCGGTCCTTATTTCTCCCGCCTGATCGTGTCGCTTAAATCCCGTTTTATTCCGCGGGAGATCAGGCGGGATAAGTATTCGCAGAAAGTAGTCACGATCGCTTCTTTCGTATCACAAGAGGTAGACGAGTGCGAAGTGACTTCGAGTTGAGCTTTTGTACGTGGAAAATAAGTGGAATCTAAGGGATGTAATCCCTGCAAAAAATCACGAAAAATTAGAAACATGCTAATGCTCCTATATTCCGCATAAGGACATGTGGTATACATTTATAATATACAGTTGAATAATATTTTCATATTTGTTAATTTATTTACTTTATTTTATATTACTTTTGACTTTTGAACTTTTATCTCTGAATCACAAGGTCAGAATGACGTGAAATAACGTATTAACGACGTATTATTGACGTCAAAGAGACGTCATTAACGCGTCATTAAAACGTCAACATGTTTGCTGAACTTACGCTTCAAAATGAAACAATTTTTCATTCAGACTCCGAGTCAATGTCAAATTGTTTGTGATCACGTTTAGAAGCAATATTAAATAATGCATTAATCTGTAATCTTCTTTTTCCATTATCTTTGAGATATGGGTGGTACACCCTTACACACCCTCAGATCGGATATTTCCCGCGTCTCTTAACGCGAGCACTTTGCGACTTATCGATGATGATAGGAAAACAATAGGGGGGAATACGCACATGTGCTAAAAGTTTCCTTTTGCTTGCGGAAACGCCGCTATAAACGCTACGCAAACGTGTATGTATGAAAATGAGGAACAAACGCGAAGGTCAATATCTGTCGTCTTCACCGCAACGTATCGGCTCTTTTCTAACGCCAGATTGCTCCATATTCCTGTAGAACCCGCATAGCGATCAGATATAGCCCATAACAGCGATCAAGCCCGGCGTTTTACCTTCGTCAATCGTTTCGCCTACTTGTTCATTATCGTAGAAGGGGAATGTCTCGGGGAAAGTTGGTAACGAGCACCCCGCACACCTCATCCTTGTTACATAATATTTCGCTTCTTTAATGGATCGTCTTTTTGTGACATAACTTTACGATGCCCGTTTGTCGGGAAAAGGCGAAAAGAAATTGGCGAAGCGAACTGCGAGGTTCAATGAACTTCAGCAAACAGCGTCTATTCGGCGCGGGGGCAAAGAAGCAACGTGGAGAGAGAAGTTTTGTGGGGTGCGAGCCGTTTTATGGTCAGGATTACTCCCGGCAGAGCCCGGGGGGAGGGGGTAGGGGTTCACTCCCTTTGACCGACACACTTAGAACAACAATAACTTACTAATCCACGCGGGCCTGCACCCGGGCGCCGATGAAAAATGTAAAAATCCAGAAAACCACTGCTCCGTGACAGTTCAATACATTTTAAATGCGTTCCGGCGCATTTGTGGGATACGATAAGCACAGCCGCAGGATCCGGAGCCACACGAGCGCCCCAATATGTCGGTTATTTATCGTCAGATTTATGGAATAAATGAGTAGGAGCCCGTACTTGTCGCGGGAATCCCCGAATATATGCTTCGCTTTTATTATTAACGTTCCGCGCGATACGTTGAATATACCCGATGGAATCGCAAATTTTTTGCAAAAAAGAGAAAGAAAGAGAAAAGAAACATGAAGAAAAGGAAGCAAAAGTCAAGCGGATGTTGCAACGCTCCAGCAAGGAAATCGAAATACAAAATGTAAACCACATCACTGATGCGAGTCGCATCGTCAAGAGTATACTGTCCATATCTTGAAAATGAAGGGAAATTTCTGAAAAAATTGGAGATTAATCTGCATTGCAACTAAAAGTAATCACAAAAAATGTTACATTGACTTAGAGTCTGGAACAGAAATTATTCCACTTAGAAGCGTAAGCCCAGCAAACATAAAGACGTCTCTAACGTCAATAATACATCATTTGATGTCATTCTACTTGAGAATGTTCTAAATCGCACTGTTACGGAAATATATGATATTGCAATTCTTAGTAAAGCAGAAGATAATTAAAAAATAATAACAAAAATCTTAATTTTAGTATACATGTACTTTTAAGTATTTGCGCGGGCGCGAAACAATGTATGCGTCCTTTGTGTTTCAGAGATAAAAGTTAAAAGAAAATTTAGATTATAATATAGAATAAAATAAATAAACCGTAAAAAATGTAATGTTAAAGTAAAAATACGCTGTAATTCAACCGTATATATACTCGTATATAAGGTGAGCCACTTAACGTTAAAATTCTAAAATATCTCTGTTCTAAGAGAAAAATGTGTAAGGAATATGGTTGAATAAACATCGTGGTCAGCAAAAGATCCCATTCACACAATATATTCTTTTCTCCAATATAAAAAGCAACAAATATATTTTAGAATCGAGATGATTCAGACCTTGTAGTATACTATACATCTTTGCACGGAAAATAAAAATATTAGTGTGTTTCTAATTTTTAGTGACTTTTTGCAGGGACTACACGAGTAATACACCTTCAAGAGCGCTCGTACGAGGAGACAGAGAGAGAGAGAGAGAGAGAGAGAAAGAGAGAGAGAGGTATGGGGAAGTGGAGAGAGAGGCAGCGGGAAGGGGGCGCAAAATCTAAATTATTCAAAAACGAATAGTACTCCGAAGAAACGCGACGAAACATAAAGACGCGAGAAATACTCGGACAGGATAGATCGATACGCCGAACCTTGATGAGAGAAGAAAAAAAGGAAGGGATGGAGAGGGGGGAGGGAGGGTTGGTGGAATGCCTTTATACGCCGCATCTCTATGGGATTCTTTCACGACACGCCGATTTAAAGCGCCTTTTAAGACGGTCGCGGGGGCTCGGTGGAATTGTGCCGAGCTGAATCGAGCGTTGAACTCTATATCGCTCGTACCCTCTCTGACGACCGCCCCCATAAGTAGCATTCCTACTTTCCGTCGTAATAAGGAAGCTGTCAGAGCGGCGGACGGGATGCGATCGACTGTAATCGACGCGACGGCGATTAAAAGGAGCAATATGCAAAATCAACCGTATCGATGACGACGCGCGAAATAACGAGCCGAGTTCGGGGCGCGATGGTGGAGCTTCAAAGGCGCGAACGACGACGACGACGACGACGACGACGACGACGACGACGACGACGACGACGATGATGATGACGACGACCCACCTTCCGCGATAAACGCCTCGGCTTTGGAGAGGTCTCCTGCGATCCGCATAAGGCGAGAACGAGGCACTCGGCAATCATACGGAAAACAAAAGAGCGCGTACAAGCGGCCGATGTGGCGCGCGCATTATAATACAACAAGAGCGCTAGGCGCTTTCGACTGCCCAAAACGCTGCTTTGCAATTCGGCGCTGCACTCGGAGTTTTTACATAATCGCGTTTCGTCACCGAGCGACGTTTATTCCGTCACTCGCCCGCCACGGGAAAGCCCCTTATTAGAGGGCGCGCGCGCGCGACAATAACGCGCATGTATTATGTATATAGCCGCGAGAGAGAGTGAGAGAGAGAGAGAGAGAGAGAGAAAGAAAGAGTCAGAATTGTCGATTGTGTGCGTTGCGCTTGAGAAGTGTAGTTATTTACATTTTTTGCGCTAACGTCTGCCTTTCGGTAGAAATCCTGCACGAGGAACAAAATTCGATTATATTGACAGGTTGAAGTTGAATCTTTACAAACGAACCGTCGCGTTTCGACTGAAGAACATTGAATCTCTGGGCTTCTTACGGCTCTAATTTGATTCCAGAAACTCCGTTTCCTTCAACCAAAACGCGTTGGTTCATTTGTTCACAACTAATACACTTCATGTTACACTTCATGTTAACACGTAACGGAATTGTGCTATTGTGTTCTGAAAATATTGAGTTGTATTATTTCTTTTCATATACATATGTGCTATGTTTCAGAAAAATTAATACCAAAGATCACCATGCTAGATATTGATTGTCACTAACGTTTTAATAAGGAAAAACTTATAGTTTTGTCGTTTTATTAGAAAAGTGTTGTCAATAAATAATAATAATTAATGAAACGTGCAAAATATAACAAACACATTTTTATACATTGCATGTCCTAACATGTCCTAACAAGTCACTTTTGAGAGTTTTAGAAGCTTTTTGAGGATTTTGAGCTTTTTGAAGATTGAGAAATAAACAAGTTTTGCGGGATACTTCATTTTGCCCCGCATAAAAAGTATAATGAGATTAAGTGACGAGATTAAGATGTGTTCAGATAAATAACAATTTCGTTCTTTGTAACTATTCTTTTACAGTAACACTTATACTTTTCTTACAATGGATACTTCAAAAAAGATCTCGATGCAACATGATGTCGATTTATTTATTTTTAATATATGTTCCAAACTTATTTGAGTTACGGTCCCCATTATGCTTCGATGTTCCCCTATTTATACTTTTTCTCTTTATGTTATTATATTGCATGTCGTATAATGTAATAAGATTGTATTCCGCGTTTGTTTTTGCACGAGGATCCACTCGCACGGAGCCGCCAATTTTCGCGTACGAGTAAGAAAATAAATAAAAAGAAAAAAAGAAAATAAAAAGAAAAAAAAAGGAGGGAAACAAGCGAAATACCGTAAAGATATCGTGGAGAATGGCATGCATTTTGAGTAAAATTGAGCGTACCTTTCGAAAGCGTAGTGTCTCTCCTCAAATCTGTAACACATAAACAAGCTTCGTCACTATACCGTGGTACCGGTAGAACTACGCGGAGGAGAGGTCATTGGTTCCGAACTCGTTTCATAAACTAGTTTCGACAAGCTCATCGTGCGAGAAGGGGCGAGACGAAAGCAGGACCGCAAAGATTATTTCGGACGGTAGACGGGTAGTTTGGCGCACGTAGGTAGTTATACCTATAAGTAGACATAATCATCACCATTGTAGATAGGCAGACGGGTGAGGCTAATTTCCAAACCCCGTATTATGGTGCCCGAATCAACTTTTCTATAGTATAATAAGCTATTTTATATGACGTGCGTACGCAATTATATTGAGATTAGATAAGACCGCGGCCGTTTAGTTTGTTACAGGCAAATCCAAAATGTATCGTTCGAACAAGCGAGACAAACCCGGAATCTCGATGTTTTTGTTTCTGCCCCTTTACTTTTCCTTTCTCCCCTTCTCCTCCTCCCCCCTGCCTCCTACTCTAGTCTCGAGGGAGACCTTGAAAACAATATTTCGATCGGAGGAACAACGGCGGACGGTTTTAGAGACTTCTTGTCTCGCGTGCGCGCGCGCGCGCGCGCGGAACGAAATTCCGGAATAAATAAAGCGCCATTCAGAGTATATCCGCAGTGCTATTTACTTCTAAAACGGAATTTCTCCCGACGTTACGATCGAGAAGTTGGCTTTGCGGGCGTTTTTCCGATCCCGTTCGACGAAGCGGCTACGCCGGACCGGAATGCGGGGCAGTGCGATAAAAAGCGAATCAAATATCTACCATTCGACCGAACCACTCGACTAATGAAAATACCTATTGTTACTTTCTGGGTTTTGCGTTGAGAAATTTTTCGTCCCGCAGCATCCCGATCTCGCGCGGCATTTCGTTCAGTTCGTCAGTAAGAAAGGGTGCGATGACATCGGCCTCGATATCTGGTCGAAGCGGCCGAACACGAGCCGATACGGTTCGTATGGTAAGCGTAAATACGCCCTTTTTCACGTAAAAACGCGAAAAATTACTTAGAAGCCGCGAAGATTACAAAAAACTCGTGACAAGATTCGTCTTTCAGTATCGACGTTGTATGTACATAAGTGTTTTTATACAGGTTAATTTTTCTACCTTGCATAAACACATACCAATGTATTAAAAATATACCAAGCGTTACCGACATATACGCGTCGATAAGGAATAAAAATCCTTAGGGCGACACTAGGCCCCGTACTAATATAGTCGTTACTTGAAACTTATCTCAAGTGAGACATTTAGATTTTTATTCAGAGTCAGATCCAAGTTTTTCGATTGAATTACGATAAGTGTGACATTTATATTTGTAGTCGCGATTCAGTGGAAAAAAAACTCATCTAACTCTAAAGTGAAATCTGAGTATCTCAGCTGAGACGAGTTTCAAGTAATGACTATTAATTAAGATGTATACCCAAATAAACTTTCATGATTATCATGACATGAGATAACCGATAATGGAAACTGCAATTCTTCTGACTCACATTTATGAGAAAAATATATTCTATTGAATGTATCACAAAATTTGCATATCATACGATAATGCATTCTGTTATAATGCAGCAATAAATTTGTTAAAAACTTCACTCGGATTTTCATATTACATTATACATGAAATATCGTTTTGAGTAGATTTCGACCATTTTTTTTCGTATTTTTTTCGTCGTTTTATATGGTAAATATGAGTATACATAAACTATTTATAATGAATGTAATCTTTACAAATCGCGATTAGTAAAACTGTCTATTTGGAACATTGTTTAGACTAAAATTTGATTTATAAAAAATTTGATTTATTTTTTATAAAAAATTGATCAAATTTAATTATTTTGATAATTGTTTTTGATAATTATTCGATAATAATTTATTAATTTGATAATTATTTGATAATTATTTTGCGCATATTTTTTTGCTATTTCTATTTTGTCATTCTATTCAACAAATATGAATATCACATAAAGCTCTCATAAGGGCTGCAAACTTTACAAGTCAACTGCAAGGAGAAAATATTTATAATGTTTCCTTCTTTCATATAAATCTTTTTCAACTTTACTATGTTTCCAATAATGAATAGGCGGTCTACAATACAGTAAGGTCTACATCTTACCAAGAAATATAGTAAATGTCGCTAGAATTATGGCCAAAATCATAACAAATTTTTTAATAACACATTTCAGTTCTCAAAGTATAAATGTTGCATATAAAGTGCGAAAAATAGTCGATTGCTACAGAATGTTGGTTCACTCCTTGCTCATAAAGTTCCTTAGTAATGTGGAATTTACTGTGTAAAATTCTCCCCATATACCGAAGTCGCCGGCAAATTTACGTACGCCTGTCTATTTGAATGCACGCGTCGCGGAAATATTCAACCGAGAGAGACCCGTTTCCTCGTGGACAACCTCCCCGGCGCGTTTACAACGCAGCATCCCATGAGATACCGTTCGATCTCGAGGCGGACGGCATCACGGCCGAGCGGATCGGACAGTGACGAGGAGAGCAAATCTCTCGCTGCGGGGAAAAAACAATTGAAATCGGGGCGGACGCGTTCGTTCGAAATCCGTGTCCGTGCGGCGCGACGCTGCGCGGCGCGACGCGGCTTTACACAGTTCCTGATTCGCATTTAAGTTAGTCTCACGTTCCGCCGCTGCACGTGATCCAGCTGCTCGAGAGGAATCCCACGTATCCGTGACGTCGCTCCATCTCCACCGCGGGCAACCTGCATGCGAATACGTACGCGCGAGACTTCTGTCTAGCCCGCGCTCTGACTTATTAGGGATTCCGCGCGGGCCACGTGCAGAAATTCGACGTTGAACGCGCTCAGGCGCCACGTGTACGCCGACTCGGCCGCTGCCGGACGCACGTTCTTCTAATTTGCGATACGTCTTCGGACTGCTTAAAACTCGACCAACCTGTTTCGTTCCGTCGCGGATGCGCGCCGTTCGATGAATCGTCCCTCGCCAGACCGGAAGAGCCGAGGGACTGTTTGGGATTACGTGTGCATCTCGCCGCGGCTTACGTTCCCGGACTGCGGCGTCGCGTACGTGTGTGTATACGTGTATGCGTTGCGTGTGTATGTGTATGCGTAAAGTTAATCGATCGGTACGGTTGAAAATACATCTTCCGAGTCGAATGAGCCGACACGTGCGTTATGCGCACGCGATTTTCTCGAGGGAAAAGAGAGAGAGAAAGAGAGAGGAAGCGAGAAAGAGAAGGAAGGAAGTCTCTAAACATTAAATCACGGCGCATAATAAGTCTTCAGCAACTTTTTAACGTACGGCGTGATAACTCACGATGATACATAACGTATCCAAATATTCGCGTAATCCTCCCTTTGTATCGGTCGATAAGGAGAAAAAAAGAGATTTGCGAGAAGGGGCAGGCACCCTGTAGCGCCTACACTTATGACTCCCGGGTGAATCTCACCTCTAAATCTTGCTTCTTATGCACCATATTCGCGAGGAACGCCGCGCGTCTTTACATTGTCGAAATAAATGACTGAAATGCAACGCGTCTCTTTCGCGACGAACGGAACGGACTTAGAGTCCTAGATTTACAGAGAGGCGACATTGGAAAGTTTCGTTTCACTGACTGTCTGAATCACAAAGTCCCCCCCAAGCACCATATTGTTTCCACATGACTAATAGGCACATGATATTCCGGCAAGTCGTAATATTTCAAATTGGGTATTTTTAATATATCGTAATTTAATGTAGTACTTTTTTTGTATATGCGTATTTTTTGTATATTATAACGTCAAAATAATTCAAATCGATCGTGAAGTGAATATTCCTATTTGGGAATCATTTAGCACCATTATATGTACAAAATGGTGACTTTTGACACATGCCAGATTTTAATGTCGCCTCTCTACAAATCTAAAGCTTGAGTCGTTACTTGAAATTTGTCTCAAGTGAGCTACTCAAACCTGAATTTAGATGTGAATTTCTCAGAATTGCAATTATAAATATAATATCACGAATATCGTGATTCAAATAAAAAATTTTGATAAATTTGAAATTCAAATTTGAATATCTCACATAAGATAAGTTTTAAGTAAGATACTCAAACCTGAATTTAGCTTGCTTCAAGTAAGATATTCATATCCAAGATGAGAGTTAGATTTTTCAGTTAAATTGCAATTATAAATATAATATCACGAATATCGTGTGATTCAAATGAAAAACTTTGATAAACTTGAAATTCAGATCTGAGTACCTCTCACGTGAGGCAAATTTCAAGTAAACAGAAATCTCAAGTAAATAAGAATTGATACGGACTCTCACATATACGACACGGAGTTGTTCCAAACTGTTTCCACTCCCAAATTGAACGCAATGAAATCGCGACTAAATAACGATTAACATGACTTGACAGACGTGAAAGTGGACGCGCGTGTGGTCGAGGCGATAAAATTGGAGCATGCGTAGAAAATGAAAATAGCGAGGAATAACTTTCTCTCATCGAGATCGAGTGTTAATGGCTCTTTCCTGGCGGCGGCTGCAGCGACAGCGACGGCGAAACAAGAGCGGCAGATTCCGGTGTAACGCTGCATCAGTTACCACAACGCGGAGGCGAGAGCGTAGAGGCGCGCATTGTCGGCGCGTTTCGTAAAACGGGAGGAAATCGTGCGACAATGCGGTCTCCATGGAGGTCTCTCCGAGAGAGAGAGAGAAAGAGAGAGAGAGAGAGAGAGAGAGAGAGAGAGAAAGAGACGAAGGAGAGCTGGCGTAAGAAAAGTGAACGCGAGCCGAGAGCAGGTGGAAGGAGCGGGGGAGAAGAGAGGAGGTTGTAGAGGGCGGAGAGGGCGAGAAGATGCAGCGCGTCGTTGTTTCGCTTTCCTCCTTTGAGTTTTATTTATCGGCCGGCTTGAATATTCAGCTTGGACCGGACAAAACCGTTCCGTTCCGAGCGCGGGCCGGTCTCGGGGAAAGATAGAGCGACAGAGCGAAATAGGGACAGAGAAAAAGAAAGAGAGCGCGTGTGTCACTTACAGAAACGCGAGAGCGATATTGTTGGACGCGGCCGCGTCGCCGTCATCGTCGTCGTCTTCCTCGTCGTCGTCGTCCTCGTCGACGCGAGTACAATACGCCGAGAACGGCGGAATGCATTAATATTAATGGTGGTGCCGAAGGAGTCGCCACACTAACGGTCGCGACTCGCGACAGGCTCGACCACTCATCGAACTCTTCCCAATAGACGAAATCGCGGCTGGCACGCACCGCCGATGATCGACGCGACACCTCGCTCGTTACTCTGCTCATTAGAGGTCCGCGGAATCGGCTCTACGCGGAAAAGAAAGCCCGTCAGACGAGGTGTGACCGACCGAATGTACGCACATTTAGGACACACTTCGCAATGCCTTCCATTTCCGACTGGGGTGTTTTCGCTCGGACGCATCGTATCTACACATTTTTGTATTATGCCTGTAGGTCTTGAGCAAAAATAGGCAACTCAGTCACAGCAAACGCAACAGCAATGGTGCATTTATGCATTCACCGGATATATTAATGTTACATTGTTTGCGTTGCACTTGATGCGGCTGAGTTGTTTGTTCTTCTCCTGAGCAACAGTCGCGACACATAAAAATATCCAGATATAATGCGTCAAAATCCTAGCCGGCAAATGGAAGGCATCATCGATGTCCTGTGTATCTAAAGTCGAGAATAGCCGCGAGATCTCGAGAGAATTGGCCGCGTCCTCGCCAAGTTTCTCATATCCTCTTGCCACCGCGTGGAGTCTCTCTGGCCGCCGCGCGGTGGCTCTCGAGAGGAGGCACCTCTCAGGTGAGGTTGTCGCCTGGAGCGGCATCGGTTATTCCAGTGACGATGCACCACGTAACGCCCACCATCCTTTATCATCGCACTTTCGCCTCGGCGATGATGATTCGTTATCTTGGACTTTTGAGATTTTTTCAAGGCGCGCTATTACAGAGTGCGCACGTTTTCGCGGCAGAATGGGTCGAATCGTTCCCGTATTTATATTTTTGATATGTAATTTCTAACGTAAAGTGAGAGAGAAAGAGAGAGAAAATACAAGAGGAGATGGACCGGCGACGCTGGCGGAGTTCAGACGGAAGAATTTTTATGCTAAAACTCCGCGATTTATCTCGGAAGCGGCATCTCCATAACCTGGCTAAAGACTTTGATGGCCTTGCAGCTCAACTTCCAAGGTATATCACGAGATGGAGGGCAAGATACGAAATGGCAGATTCTTCACCGTTGAACGCGACGTAGGTGGGTGGTGAGTCACGGTTATACATATTAAATATGTTGAATCGTCGGCTAACGAAACCGCGCGGCGCCGATTACATCTTTTTCTCCCCCTCTCTTTCTCTCTCTCTCTCTCTCTCTCTCTCTCTCTCTCTCTCTCTCTTTCACGCCGTCATTTATCTCGAATGGAGCACGCGGGATGCAACGTTTCGCTTTGTTTATCGCTACTCACCGAATTTATTTTTGCAGAGCATTCTTACGGAGCCGTGCGACTCCTTCACCACGATGAGACCGCGACTATTTCGCGCGCGCCAGGATCACGTCGAAACCGCAGGGATAAACAAAAGTGGACCATGAAGCGCAGCAGGATGGCGAGAAAACGATGGAGAGCTCGGGGGAGAAATAACGCAGGTCGTGGAATGGCTCGGCAGAGCCGATCCGAAGTCGGATGGGAGCGAAGAGAGAAAGAGAGAGAGAAAGAAAGAGAGAGAGGAGACCTCGAAGTTTCGTCGGTCGGTTTGACCTCGTCCGCGCGCGGGTAATAAGAATAAATGTGATTCTATTACGGGTTCAATTGTTACGGCGGCAGATAGGCCGCTCTCGATAGAGGACGGAGGGTAGATCGCAGCCGATAAGATTTACCCAGGAAGGTTTTTACCTACGAAATCGCTCCTCCAACTGCGGACACTCGGGGGTGGTGTCGGTATTAACGAATCTTACGAGCGCGCTTGTAACATCGTCAAAATTGCAATCGCGACCGTGAAAATGCTTACGTCGCGCCCGATACGACGATCTGTCGCGTTACGTTCGTAATCCGTCCCCAGATAGACAAGCACGTAAATTTGGCAGCAAATTTACTGCGCGGAGAGAATTTCACGGTGAAAATTACTGTGGGACACTGAAAAGAGTAAACCGATATTCTGCAGTAATTGTTTATCCTCTCATTTTATATATGCTATTTAAATTTTATTATACACTGAGAGAAAAATTTATGATATTTGGAACTATAATGGCATAATAAAAATAATATAGTTAGGAATATAATTTTTATAGTAAATGTTACCATAATATTTGTAATATTTACAATATAAGTATAGTATAACTGACCCGTGTAAAATTTTTACCAAGAATTATAATTATTTGAAATAAAAAATATGGTAAGGTGGCAAATATTGAATGGTAAGAGAAATTAACTATTTTATATAGTCAATACAATTGGAATATTTGGCAAATATAGGTACATGTAACTATATTCCCAAAAGGTGCTTTATCATATATATAGAGTAATAAGATGGTGACTATAAATCTGTGTTCATTCTACTATATCTTCATGTTTAGATGAACTATAAATATATGTTTGAGGCCAAAACGAACTATAAAATATAGTGAGATTATAGTTATTCCAGCTATTTTTTTCTCTCAGTGTAGGAACGCTGAAACGTGTTATTAAAAGATTTGCTGCTTCTAAAGCTTGATCTACAATATGCTCTTGCCGTTCTGTTTCTTATCTTCTGTCTTTTTCTGGCTTAAAGCTTAAGGTTTGAGTCAGAAAGAGATAAAGAGAAAGAAGTAGGAAGTAAAGAACACATAGATCAAGCTTAACAAAGCATAGCATTCTGGCGAAATTTATCATGTCCCTTAACAAGATAGATCTTACTGACTCTTCATTATTAGATTCCTGCATTACTAGAAACGTATACAGTTGAGTTGAAAATAATTTATATGAAAGAAACTAATATTCTCTCACACAGTGTAGTTGCTTAAAGTTACATTTCTCATGACTTCACGGGGCACTCATATTTATCATGTAGAATGACGAAATAGAGATACGAGAAAGACTCGACAAAAATCGAGAAAGATATGACAAAAATGATCAAAATTTGCTCTAAACAATGCGTCATGTAAAATGTAATGCGAAAATCTGAGTATAACTTGTAGTAAATTTATTGCTGCATCAATGTAACAAAAAAATTACATTATTATATGATGTAAATTTAATGATTCATTCAATACACAGCGTATTTGTTGCATACATGTAACTTAAGTAGCTGCAATATCCTTTATAAGTGGCTCACGCAGCGTTCATATATTTACTACATAGAAATACGAAAATTACTGCTCGAAAACAATACTCTAATTATATAAAATGTAATCTATGATGTAAATTTAATGATTAATTCAATACAGTACTGTTGTCTCATAAATGTAACTTAAAAAGCTGCACTCCCTTATGAGTGCTTCCCATAGTACTCATATTTATCACATATGACGACGAAATAGAAATACGAAATAAATACGACAAAAAAGTTATCCAAATCTGCTCCGAACGTCATGTGGAGTGCAATGTGAAAATCTGAGTGTAACTTTTAGTAAATCTGTTGCTACATCAGTGTAACCAAAAAATCACATTATTGCATAATGTGAATTTGATGATTAATTCAGTACGTTTGAAATGTAATTTAAAAAATTGCAAAGTGTCCATCATCGATTATCCCGCGTCGTGATAATCACGAGAGTCTATCTGGGCTACACGGAGCACGCAGCGTTTGAACTTAACAATCTCGCTCGACAACAAGAACTCAACGCAACTTGTCGTGTTGGAGAATCGCGTCAGCGCTGAGTGAAATTACTTGAAAAATTATATCACGCGCTATTTTTACATATCGTGTTTGCGTACGTGTACGTGTGTGTGTCGTGTCGACGTACAGGAGGAGCTGTCTTGGATGCTCATAAATCGGATTTATCTCCGTCATCGAGACAGGACACGTAGGTATATACGGAGCAAAGTCGCGCGAGAAATTCTGTAGAATGCGAATCGGGTCTGACAGAGAGAGGGTACTCACCGTGCGTTGACGGAGGTAGGATTTCCGACGTCGTCCATGGACGGTTTCCTAGAATGAAACCACGAATGAAATTCGTTATTGTTCATCCGCAGCTGCATAATCGCGGGATGCTTATACGTGGCGCATAGGTTTGCCGTTTGCCACATTTTAGCGTATGCTAGCGGATTCCTGGGGGACTCTCTTTCTCTTTCGTGCTTTTCTTTTCTTTCGCCGACCTCAACGAGATGCGCGCGATCCTCTCGTTGGACGTTTACTTCGCGCAAGTGCCGGAAGCGGACTTTACACGTGTTCGTGTCGCTTTCCTCGCCACGGATCGTCTCTGCATGTTGATGATGAATAACGACTGCAGGTCCTCGCTACACGTAAACCTCCGTGTAAACCTCGTGCTCGCAATTGTGTATTACCGGAGTGTCTACGTTACATGCGGGAATTCCTTTTTGAGCACAACGCGTCACAAATTACGATCTTCACTGTGAACTCTCGCGAGTCACGCGTACGTAATCCTCGCGGTCGTCTTAAAACCGACGCGTTGCGCCTAGATTATTAAAGTCCGGCCCGATCACACGCGATTGCAGACGGATTCCACCCCCGTCACCAAAATCGCAACTTGCGGATCAACTCCCGAACAAAAGGGGGAACCTAGCGAGAGTGTCGAGGAAACAACCGCGCGACGGTCGCTCTTGAGAACGTGTGCATAAATGTCATCGGGCGAAGGCGCGTGTTGGTCTCGTGCTCGCTCGCTTCGAGGGTTCCACCCCCATCATCCCTGAAACGTCATCCCCACCAGCCAGTGATCTTCGCTGCGCGTGCCCTTCTCACGAACGTAGCTCGGCGTGCTTCGTAGGATACAGCGAATGGATTAATCGTCCTTTATCTTACTTATCGAGGAGAGCGCTCTCGTGAGCGATACTTCGCTTATTCCCACGCGTTGCGCGAATCGCGAAAAGAACAATGGAGTAAACAGTCGCGAATCGAGATCTTGATTCTACTTTCGACTTCATATTTCGTTTAACGCTCAATTTGATACTCTGAAGCTTGTATCAGGCTCCTTTGATTTTATTTAACCTGCTAGCTTCGCTCAGAACCTACAAGTGACGTTTTCGTTACTTGAAACTTGTCTTACGTGGGATACTTAGATTTAAATTCAGAATTTGATCTAAAATATATAGTAAAAATATATAATAAAAATATAATTTGATCTAAAATCCTCTCAGTTAAACTATATGTATGACATATTTGTAATCGCAAATTAACTGTGAAAAGCTTACATTTAACTTTAAATTCAAATATGAATATTTCACAATTGCGACAAGTTTCAAGTAACCACTATTAATACGAACTTTAAAATTCTGTCATGGAAACTGAAGTCCTACTCTAAGGACTTTCGTTTCCATATATATTAAACATACATTGATCCTTCGGAACATCTAACAGATATTAAAACATTCAGGTCGAAAGTAAGGATAAAATTTCGACTAAGATAAACAGTAAATCCCAAGTTGCGAACTAAGAACAAATTCGAATTATGTCACACGTTCGGCTAACAGTTGAAGTTTTGAAGTTTCCTCTTCGGAAATATCAGTAATCAAAGAAGGAAAGCAATTCAAGTGATTTGAAAATATAAAAAATCGCAATAGTAAATATATATAGTAAAAATATATAGTAAAAATATATAATAAAAATATATAAAAGTAAAATATATAAAAAGATATAGTAAAAATATATAAAAGTAAAATATATAAAAATATACAGTAAATATATATAGTAAAAATATATAGTAAAAATATATAATAAAAATATATAAAAGTAAAATATATAAAAAGATATAGTAAAAATATATAAAAGTAAAATATATAAAAATATACAGTAAATATATATAGTAAAAATATATAGTAAAAATATATAATAAAAATATATAAAAGTAAAATATATAAAAAGATATAGTAAAAATATATAAAAGTAAAATATATAAAAATATACAGTAAATATATATAGTAAAAATATATAGTAAAAATATATAATAAAAATATATAAAAGTAAAATATATAAAAAGATATAGTAAAAATATATAAAAGTAAAATATATAAAAATATATAGTAAATATATATAGTAAAAATAGTAAAAATATATAGTAGTACGAATGAAGTTCCAATCTTCGCGTGTCTCACGACAGTCGAGAGTTCGCAACGTCACGTCGGAACGGAACGCGGCAACGCTCTGTCTTCATTTGACCGATTGCGAGATCTAGAACCCCGCGACGCCAATAAAACGCCGTATCTCCGCGGTAGCTTGTGTATCTATTTTCACGCCGCAACCTTATCCCTAAGCCGACCCTAACGTTGCGCCGAACGATGGAGGGGATCATCGATTAAAGCCTAATGGGATTATACCCTCACGGCGTATCGACGCTTTCTCCATTTTGCGTGAATAAGAACAAACGTGTCGCGCGAGATTTTGCAGCGTGCGATTTTACACTCGCGCAAATCACCTCCCGTCACGCTCTGAGATTACGGTAATAGTAGAGCCGCGTGTGCGCGTATAATTATTCGCGAGACTCTCGGCAATTTCATCAGACGCGACCACGAGCGACGTACACGCGTCCTTTTAGTTAACACGATCGGACGATATTAATTATTGTCAACATATCGCGTCACTCTCAGGGATTCACATACGTCACGGTGTGGCGCAAGGGACGAAGATAACGAAGGCGATCTTGGTCGCAGTCCGGAGGTCAAGAGCGGATCCAGCGTAGAAGGCGGCGGGAAAGATACGCTTCCGAGTTTTGCTTATCGATTCAAATCGCGTTCCCCGCGTATGAATGAACGAACGAGTGGGCGAGTCGAGCCACCGGTTGAATGGGAGAGCCCCACGGGTGACCACAAAGTACACGCGTGCGTGCCGACGATCGTTCGACTTCCTCGCGTGTTCACTCACCTCCTTCTCCTCTTCCTCCTCCTTCTCCTCCTCTTCCTCTGCTCTTTCTCTATCGCCCGATACGAAAGGCACACGCTCACGTCTCGGATGTGTATACGCGATGGCATAATGCGTCAAAAAACTAAACTAATACACGAGGTACACAGCGAGATGCTTGTGGTTTTACGTGCCTACATGGACTCGACGTAGGTTGCACCGTTGCGACGCGTAGGGGAGGCTGGGGCAAGATGGCACATTCTTCAGGATTTCAAAGTTATAACTTTCCAAACAACCAATTGCTATGATTGACAGTATAGACATGATAGAAAGAATCTCTCTCTACGTTTTTGCACTAGCAACGATCTTGTAACATGTATATAATATCTTATTCTGTGACAACTAAAATACAGACACGTAGCCATTTTGCCCCAATACCGGAGCAAGTTGTCTAGCGACCTGGAGTAAGAAGGCCATCCATAAAATATGTATGATCTTGTACTTTGAATAATTTTGTATCATTTAGGACTATTTTTTAAAGAGTAAAGAGACCCTTCGACGACTAATATTATAGATGTTATACAATATTATTGATCGTCTGGGGGCTACATTGAAGGTTTGTGCAATATATTGTGTTGCTCAAAGGTTCTATGAAATATATCACGCAACTAATGAAATATTGATACATTTGTGGGTACTTGCGCAAAATCGCTTCAGTTCAAGATTTTTGCCAGTTCGATCAGTATAAGATTCAAAAGTAAAAGCACGCCAGTGAAATCCTTCAATAGCTATTGTCATCTTGCGTGTTTCTATTTCCACGACGCCGATATAGCACATACTATGAACATAGTATGAACTTCAGATTTTCAAAAGAATAGCTCGTAGTAAGGTAAAAAGGCCTTCACTGGTTTCGAAGGGGTCAAAGGTAAATTGCGCGATACGTCGCGGCGCATTTTATTTTCCCGACGCCGTCATAACGCGTATCCTCGAGGTCTCTCTCTCGGTTCTTCTCGTCATTTTCCAATCTCGCGCGAACGGACGCGCACCAGTGATGTAATTCGATGTATCTGGCGCGTAGCTAGGTATGCGGCGCGACTAACTCGCCGCGTTTTGTACCGCTAGCGCTAAAAATGCGTGGCGAATCGACGGGAAGGATCATACTGACTAGGCAACTTCGGAGCAGATCCGTTTTCTACGATCTTAACAGGTATCGAATCCGTTCAAAGCGTTCCCGCCGCGCTGGACAGCGCATTGGACAACATCGCTGACGTCCAGCGGTGGCCGGGTAAATCCGTCTTGTTTTTCACGCGTTGGTTTAGTCGCGGCATTAGAATCCACGGACCATCGCGCGTCGCCTGTTTTTCGGTCACTCTGTCGCGCCCGTCGCCGTCGTGACTCCAAAGTTCGTTCGAGCTCGTGCTCGCGAGTAGCTCGGCGCTATTAAACGACGGCTGATTTTTGCCGGGCTATCTGCCGCATTGTGCGCAATTATACACGCTTTTTGTCGGCTAAGTCAGTGTAAAATGCGGTTTTCCGAAAATGGCAGTGGAACGAAGACTGGTCTCTACTACGTGGTGCTGCGAGAGATATAGTATCGTTTAATTTGGCATAAAACATCAACCTCCTCCCTCCGTGTACATCGAGAACACTTGCCTCGCTCGCTACTTCATCCTTCTTTCCGTATCGGCTTCTTCACGTCCCGCGATCGTTTCGCGATCGAGTCCGCAACGAGCAAGTCGCTTTGTCCGTGCACCTCATCTCAGGCATATATTCACACAAAAAAGAAAGAACTCTAGTCATAAGATGATGTTTCCTGCAACTCTATATTCTAAGCGCAAACTCTTCTCGAAAGAATATTCCTCTTCTAATGAAGAGTGAACTGTTAAATCTTAAAATCTATTAGATATTGTTGGACTTTTTTTCTTCTTGAATCAATCATATTCATAGATTACTTGAAGCAGAATGCCTTCCTGAGTCCGTATCATACTAGCTTTTGCCAATTGGATTACGTTTGACAATTATAAAATAGAGCATTGTCTGATTGGCAATCGCTAATCTCAACCGGTAGCTACTTTGTTTTTCACAAATTGAAAAATAATTCCTAACTGTCAATCACAATCTAATAAACAGTCGCTTGT